CGCAACGGCTTGCTTTCGTGCTACAATCGATAATAAGTTGCAGGTAATGCATGGACTAAATCGACGATCGGACGATGACCTTTCGAATAAATTTTGTTTGAAGAAAAATATTGATAAATATTGTCTATATTTTCGTGAAATTTCTGATTCTGTAAAATATCGGAATTCATAAGCGTAATAAAGACTTTACTTTCCTTGTGATTTTTATTGTAATCGCTGCGATCATCAAATTTTGAAGTTGAAACAATATTTGATTTGCCAAACATTTTATTCAAAAATAAAATAATACGAAATGTATAATATTACTGCGATATTATTGAAATATTATACACATACTTTATGATGAGTGTACGGGTTTAGATTATCATTGTGGCAAATATTTATTTGCCAGCGTGAGATTGTCTTTTCGAAGTCTTACTGCTTGGTATACCACACAATGATATTCGCAACTTATCAGCCACGTTAGCAGACAATGCGCAAGGTTATAGAAAGGGGATTTCGGAATCGATAAAGGATCGATCGCGATTTTTCTTAGGAAAAGAAATCATTTTCAAAACTTGATCTTCAATCAATTTTATCGTAATATTAAATTTACTTTTAATTAAAGTTGAAATAATTTAAACTTGTTTCGCTATTTTTCCAGTAACTTTCTTTCTCATATGCGTTTTTGTGAAAAGTAAAACAGATGATATCGAGAGAATTTATTTTAACATGTAATACATCCAGCAAGGTTCGATTTAATATAGATAATAAATTTTACTATTTTAGCAAATCTTATGCATTAACGACTTCTTTCGTCAAAGTGCTGTGTTTAATACTCATACACGCATCGCAACTATACAAATATTTTTTTCACTAGTTTTTAGCTTACGTTTTAATCGTGACGGGATCAAATAATGCAGAACGTACGAATTCCATTCGAACAAATAAGATTAATATAGACATAGCAAATTTTGCGGCATCTTTGTGCATAGTAAACATATCGAAATAATCGCTAATATTTTACAACGTTATTCACAATTCCTTTACAGATCTAAATTCCTTTTTTTGCATGCGTGTGATAAATAATGAACAGTGATGCTGATTTTACGATTTAAAATTATTGTAAAGAATAAATCATAACGCATGCAGTAAACTATAAAGAAATATACATATATCAATTTATGTGTAGTACGATATCTATTTTATCATTGCGGTAAAATTAAATTGACAACTTTATATTTTTGCAAATTACGGCAATTTATGATAAATAAATATATGCATTAAATAATTATTAACGATTTGAGTTCTCTGAATTATATGAAAAGTATTATAATAGTAAATATAATAAAAGATTACTGTGCGTGTTCAATGTGAGAGAAATAAAACACTTACCACCAATCAAGCATCAACACGTTGAAGCTGTTATCATGAAAATTTTATTAATAAAATTATCATGATAACTTGTGCAAGGAGCTTTATCAAACCGAAGGCTACAAACTGTGTATCCATCACATATAGATTCGCCATCATGTTTAGTTGATATGTATTTGTGATAGTTTGATATTGAGTTTAAATAGAAGTACTAAATGAAAGACTCTGTGAGATCTTTATAAAATACTTGTGAAAGTCTTTTATTTTTACAATAAATGACTGTAATAAAATGAAATATACGGATGATATATGAACAAAATATGTAACATGAAATTGAATAAGAAAGTACTTCTTAATTTATTTTTTATCTCTTTCGCTATATTATATAGCGTATAATACTACGTACAATAATTTAATAACATTAAAGCATATTGTGGCGGCTCACCGCCACACAGCTTACTGAAGCGGCATAATACGCCGCGGCGCCGCTACGCGCCGCAGGCCTTCTACCAGTTATAAGCTTGCGGACCCACCGCCAGGTGGCACAGGCGGTGAAGAGCTTTCTCGCGATCAAGCTTCGATCGAGGAGATATAAAAGAGCTGCTCTGCAGATCTTTACTCACTCACTCGCTTCAAGGCGAGCTCTCACTAAGGGCCCTTGAACGGAGTCACAGCTCTGCTTCGAAGAGCGCAACCAGCAAGTCTTCTCGACTTTTCACAGTGCCTGGGAAGGCACGGAAGCGAAAGACTCAGTCTCAGCTCTGACCGCACACCTCACGTAGGATGTACAGCTACGGTCAGCTGACGCACCAGCATCGCCGTCGCCACCACAGACTCTACAGCGGAAAATAATTCCCTTAGAGTT